GTAAGTCAAACGCCCAATCTGAATCAGATTTATATATTTCACATACTCAAGAGAAAACAAAAAGCCTTTAGAACATCACCTGGGAAAATCTAGCTTCTGGTGATTCCTACAGATCACTGACACAATACCGTTACTGCATGAAAAGGATATGTGACCAAGAACTCACTACAACTATTGTGCATAATTAATCTGTCCAAATACTTTTAGTAACATAAAATGAGGGGATCATGTACAAAAAGTGCTGATCTCATCCTGTATGGATGTAAATAAACTAAAACTGAAGCTGACAGTGTGTACTTGAACCTCATGGTCACAGAATCCTTTCACACTGAAGGTGTTGGAGTACAGAACCAAATCAGCAAAAAATATCACTTCGCATAGACTTCCAGTACTCACTCTACATTTACAATATTGGTTTGCTATCACCAATGATCACCCGGTACCTTATTACAGTTAAGTATGCAATGTTGGATATTTACAGATTATGTGATATGTTACAAGAGCTGTAGAAAGGCAAACCACAGGGGCAGGGGCATCACAAGGTCCATCAGAGTGAGCTCAGTATTCTCCAGGTCACACATTACGTTAGCATCATGGTTGAAGATTATGCACAGGTTGGGATCTCTCTCTGTTTCTCTCTCGTGCTCTGTCTTTGTTTTGGTTACGCAATATTGCCTAATATTACTGATTTATTAAATCCACAATTGCTGGTTTGTTGATAGGTAATTTAATTATTATGTTTAAACATGATTGTATTGTTACAATTAGGCTATCAGGGTATTAACTAGTGATGGCAAGTTCGAGTCTTTTGACAGACTCGTTCATTCAAATCTCGTTCATTAAAATGAACAAATCTTTTTTTGAGTCATTTCGTTAATTTGAACTAGGCTGGTTATTGCCGCGCTGCGGCCCTCTAGTGGGCGATTAAAAAACAGCGCCGTTCTCAAACACGGAAAGCTGCCTGGCTTGCTTTAAAGGCAGGGTAGGTAAGTTTGAGAAACTAGCCAGAAACTGCTGGATTTTGAAAGTATCCAACAGAGAAACTCCCACCCCCTCCCTTCTGGGCTCCTTCCAAAGCCACGCCCCCAAAACACGTAAACGCGCGTTGCTAACACCGCAGGAGGACGACGACAGTGTGACGAGCGGAGAGCAGCGGCTCACATCAGGGGTAAGAAAACATCTAACTTTATCATTATGAAAATAAACAACTAACCCGGCTGTTAGTACTCACTCTCAAGCTAGCATGTTATTATTGGATAGGTTTAAAAAAGGCCGAATGTGTATTTTGTGTTAGACTCATAACATGTACGTTGTTTTGCATGTGTGAGCTTCCACTGTGACAGCATTATTGTCTCTGACGAGGACTGCACCCCAGAGCCAAGCACAAACCGGGACAGGCCCGGGGTCGAGGTGAAGCAGAGGAGGGAGGGCTGCCGGGGTCCGAGGAAGAAGAGGCAGGACGGGGAGGACGAGGTGCAAGACAAGGAGCACATCTTCTAGGACCTGTGTCGAGCTTCACACTCTAACAACAGCATATGAACAGGTATATCTATACATATATATTTTAATGTTAGTCTACTATCTCCCAGTGTACTTGTCTCAAATCTTCTCTGGTGTTTCCCCCTAAGCCCTTTGGGTGTCAAAAATAAAGTGCTTTATAAATGTAATCCATCACTATTGTTACTTTTTTATTATCGTTTACTGATTACAACAACTAACTACAGCTCTGCTTCAGCCATCGGCTCATCTGTGTCATGTACATTGACCTGGTGTATAATGTGGATACAGAAGTCCTGTTAGAGAACAACAAACCCCTGTTCAATAAAAATATCTGATCATGTTGATGAATGTTCTGTCCTATTACACCGATCTTTCCAATTTGGGGTTCTAATAACTATATATTCCTTTACAGGCCAGAATCTGAGGACTGTGGACAACATCCAGACTACAATGTTTCCATGCACCACACAAGGCTGACCTTCCAGACCCAGGACAGCGTAACAGACAGTTCAGTCAGGCAGCACATAGACAGTTTGTAGTGTGGCAATGTGGAGCACTTGGTCAGAGTCGTGATACTAAGTTGCTGTTTCTGGAAGATATGCAACTGTTCTCCTGATCCACCAGGACAATACAGAGGTTTAATCCTAGTAGGGTGGAAGATGTAATGTCACCAACTGCTACACAAATAATTCCCTCCACTGTGTGAATGAATACCTGTACATTGTTTTCTTTTTATGCCCAGGAGGGTAGAGAAAATACAAAGATATTTTTCCCTGTTCTGGATAATATTTTCATTCTTTTTTAAATAAAACATTGAAAATGATAAATGCCTTTTCTTTACACTTGCAGCATAAACAATCAAGCAACTACATTTATGTCTTATGTCTGAAATAATGACATCCAAATGTGGTATAACACTTGTTTATTGTTATTATATACTACTAAAACTACAACCTATATCACAAATAGATCATTTTTAAAACATCAATAAAAATAAGTATATACAGGAAGAGACAAGGTGTGTCCAGATGTATCGACTGATTATGAAGACAGTTCAGACTTTACTCGTAGCATCGTATCGCTGCTGTGGAGATGATTAAATATATCACAGTCACCTCTCTGACATGATTACCACATTTCAAAACCAACCATATTACTTTTTGTTTTATATTTTGCTGTATCTAGCAACACAGTTGGGGCAGGGACACCTGACTGAACCCCATGTTGACGGGGATCATTAGGTCTCCTGGTTCTGCTTCTAGGCATCTCCTCAGTAGTAGACAACCGTCGGAGGAGGAGGATGGCACTCTGGAGGTCTGCGATGTAACTGTAGTCCTTCTTGTGTCATCATCTTTTCTCCTGGCTGGTCTGTGGACACGGTGGTTGTAATCCAGGCCAGCCAGCATGGTCCGATCCGTGTACTGGTGAGAAGCACAGGGTGTTGGAAGACTGCAGGTGACCTGAGGGCACAGTAGAAATTAAACATACAGGATTTTTTACATCTGGTAAAATAAGTAATGGCATAACACCAGTTACAGAAAAAGGTTTTCACACAGTAGGTTTAGCTACGAACAATGTCAAACGCAGTCTAAACCTACATCTTACGTCTTACCTAATATTAGCATTGGAAAACACAGCTTGCGCTGCTGTTTTCCAGCTCACCTACAGCTAGATATAATTAATCTTCTCTACTGTGGCTCCTACACCAGCCTGCACTCGTAGCAACCGTTAGCTGTATGCTAAGTAGGTAGCTACGTTTGCTAGCGCGGAAAGTAACAAATTACCATCAAAATGATAAAAGCCAGATTACCTGTCCAGCAGAAATAAAACCACCACGGTATAACTTTTCAGCCCTTTGGTGTTCCTCAGTTCTCACTATCGTTGAAAAGCCACGCAGATATTACCTCCGGTCTGACCGCTTCGCTCATCAGGTCTGAGCGAGCTGACCGGGTACGCGCACGGGGGCAGCTCCTGTAGCAGCAGGGCTGGTAGCCATGGCAGCGAGGGAGTGTGACAGTCAGCCAGCCAATCATTGCATTCGGTCCAAATGAAACGAGTGGCTGTGTTTACTGCAGCCCTGAGAGGACTACAGACAGACGATTTGTATACTCTCTTTTTCAGAGCACCTCACTTTTTAATATGCATTGGTGTATAAAGACATTTTGAACAAATATGACAAAAAGTGTTAAAGAAGCAACTTGCCTACCCTGCCTTTAATGCACAAATTCACCTCTTGATTACTGTATATCATCATTATATAAACCCCCCTCGGCCCACAAACAAATTCAAACCATGTAAAAAACACAGAAATATGTTGTCAGTATGTAATCACCACTACTCCGGCTAAATCCTTCCATTTTCACAATCTTTCCTGAGTAGTATACAACCAGACCAGCCATATAAAGGCTTATGTATATAATTACTATCATTATCTCCAAAGTGCTCATTCATACAGCAGCCTAACGTCCCTATCCATGAGTAAAATATTAATATCAGATTTGCAGTAAATATATTGTAGTAATAAGCTTATACACTATATGAATAAACACACTCTTATTAAAATTCAACCAATTTAATAATAAATTGGATCAAGCCACCAAGTTCTTAAAGAACTCCAGCACAGAGAGAGGAACAAAGAAATAAATACATATAAACGCAGCAGTTTGGCAGGTCTGGACCCAAAATGGGCCACAGTTCCTGATTCTGCAGACAGAGAAACACACATGAGCACATCGCTTTCAAACACTGCAGGTTGTTCACCAGTCACGAGCTGTGAAACAACAGCACAGCTCTGTTGGTAAATAAAAAGGAAAAATTACGTTACGTTCTCTTGCCGAACTGGATCAGCTGTTAGCTCTTTACAGAGCTAATGATAACGTTGCTATGTGGCTGTATGTATGTATGTTTTAATGACCGGGTCTGTTTGTTTTGGAGAGGAGACGACCTCTGTGGTAATTCGGCTCCCGGTAGAACCCTGTCAGGGCTCTGAAGTGGACCCAGAACAACTCTCACCAGCTGTTAGCTGTAAAGTTAAACACTAGGACTAAAGTTACGGTGTGGCTGTGTTAAAACTATAACTTAGCACAACATAAGTGCGCTGTAATAATGTTATGCTTTATTAAATGTCACAAATTAAATATTAGATATATGTCAGTCCAGTGACTGTTACCTGACAGCCGACGTGCCTCTCATTCTCCGGCGCTGGCAGTCACTCAGCCTGCCGAGTGAACGAAAGACTGAGGATGACCCATGTAAGCGGTGAACGAGTCGTTCATTCCTGTGCATGCAGCTGCAGTGTGATGAGTGTACGTAAGAGTCCAAGATACTTCACGCATGCGTGAAAATGAAGGAAATACTCACCGAGACAACCTGTTCCTCCCGAGTCATATACACTATTAGGTCTTACGAACAAATGTTCTTTGAACGACACAACACTAGTATTAACTGGTATTATGTTGATAGAAGTTGTCATGTTCAGTAGTTTTTTTCTTTTCTTAGTTTGTTGCAGGGTTTGAGGAAGAGACAAGTGGACATGATCAAGGATGGAGTATATGGGAGCAGCCAATCATTGACCAGGGTGACTACACTGTTAAGAGAGATCTGAGGTAAAGCAGTCAGGCAACTGGCTAGCTTTTGTTGCCATAGATGAGAGCAAATTCAGACACAAAAGAAAGGTAAGGTATGGTTTTGTAAGTAAAATGGTAATTACTGTTTTAATAATGTAAAATACAGCTAGTAGGTGCATTAAGCAAGACATTTTACTTATTTTCAGTATGGACGTGGACGACGTGGACACACCTGGAGAAGACACTTGTGGGTCTTTGGAATGGTGGAAGTCAAGGGATGCCATAGACGTCCAATCTTAAAGCTTGTAAAATATCGATCCAGGAAGCGACTGTTCCCAATTATCCAGAAGTACATTAGACCTGGTAGTAAAGTGATAAGTGATAGCTGGAGTGCCTACAACAGGTTATCACGTCATGGTTACATTCACTATCAGGTGAATCACAGGAGACATTTTTTCCACCATGGGAGTGGTGCTCACACTCAGCATACTGAACGGGCGTGGCGAAATTATAAAGAGGACATTTACCAATACAGAGGAAACCTGACAGAAAAGGCATTAAAGATGAACTTGAGGTTCACTGAGTGGAACTACTGGTTTGGAAAAGGAGCACAAGAAGGGTATATTAGACGCCTTTGCAAAGACATCAGAGCGTGCTACCACGTTTAAGTGATGCTGACGGGGTAAATACTGCAGATTTCCTATCATGTGATTAATAGCATATTTGAAAAAAATTAAATGAAATATAGACTCAGAGCTGTTCAGAGGCCATATTACAAGTGTCTGATATTACAATGTGACACCCCAAAAACAAGGCTTCCTTTTACAGTACAGTTTCACTTTACTTACTGAGAATGATATAGTTAGTTAAGTTGCAGAACACACATGGTAAAAGTTTGTGATTTCATAAATGTATAACCAGTAGCAGAGGATGTGGTAAGAGTCTGGTAATACTATAGAAATAAACAAGGCCTCCTTCCGCAGTAGTTTCATTTTACTTATTGAGTAAATTGCCATGTTTTCCTTTGTAACTTTGCAGGACATACAAGGTGCAAATTTGTGATTACATGGAAAAGGGAATGATCTTTTACAGATTGTTGGTACGATTCTGGTAATACCATGGAAATAAATAAGGCTTCCTTTTGCAGTACAGTTACACTTTACTTACCAAGTAAATTGTAAAAACATCTGCAAGAACATACCCAGTATTTAAGATGTGCCATGACACTATGGGAAAACTGTTCCTGCAGGGTAGTTACCAGGTAAGTGTAAGGTAAATTATTTGATAAACCCTGTATAAATGGGTGTAGCCATGAACAACAACTATGTAAGACAAGGTAATTTATTGGAAACTACCGTCTTAATAAGATAGTAATAGAGATAGTAATAAATAAACATGGTCTGTTACCAACATAACCCTTGGATAACTACAAACCTAACTTGAAATGATGGGTAATAGTGGAAGTGTTTCCAAAAATTGGCTGCCTACATTCTGAGGAAATACACAACTGTATCTGAGGTATTACCAGCCTAAACAGGTAACAAGTACACAGTACTTTGTTGAGTTGATATTTAATATTGGTGTTTTTTCCCTGGTAGTTTCTGTAATTGCATACCAATCACCTTAAGTAATTACACAATAATATACCATATGCTTACCAGGTAAATACTTGTAGTTTCTCTGCATTTACATACTTGTTACCTGTGATAATTACCAATAACCCACTATCACTTACCATATATTTACCAGGTAAATACCTGGTAATTAGGGGACTGTGAAAGGAAGGGTTCACTATTTTCACCAAAAGAGAGGTCCATTTAGCTGATCAGCAGATGGTGGAGACCAAAAGCAGAGCTAAAAGGAGAGTTAATATTGGACTACCAATCATCAAGTGTCCAGAAAGACGACTCTGAATGCTAAAAGTCCTCCGTATCTGCTGGACATGTAAATAAGAACTTTACCATGAAAGGGTGATGATATATCAGTATTTTGTTTCTTCTTGTTTCTGTTGCCCCAAGAGACAATTTAGTACAGATTTAAGTGTTACTGTGTTTTGTGTTCGTTCTTGTCCTCTACATCTCCTTTTCATGATACTTTATGCTTCTAGTCTAATGCAACTCAGAGGCAATTTTTTTCTTTTTAACTCCACTACATTTATTTGACAGCTGATTTTACATACAAAAATACATGATCAAATGATAAAATACAATGCATTTATATAATATTGATCAGTAGTTAAATAGCTCTACCTTAACAAGCTAAAGCCTTACAATGCTGCTTGCAATGTATAAGCGATAACAATCCAATCATATAATGTATATTAAATAATATAGGAGCCATACTGCCTAATGAGCATTTTCACTTTTGATATGTAAACTGTTAATATGTCTCTAATTTTACTTAAGTTAAATGCAGGACTACATTTTAGTACTAAGTTAAGAAGCTTCTTTCACCACAGTTAAGACAGTAACAGTAGTATAGGGTGAGTTCCAAGTTGCTCCACCTTCCATTTTTCTTCTTCTCTTGAACACAGCGATAAATACTGCATGTGTTGTTCCTGCTGCTGACCCACCCTTTGCCATATCTCTTGTTTTGCTGCACAGGGACTGAAACATCTTCATTCCAGTCCTCTGTCCCCCACAAGCACCATCAATAATTCTGCTAAAGTGTGTAGAGTTGAAAATGGGAGGGGGGGCAGTTGATGGCTTTACCATGGCACACTCAATCTCTTTACCTTCATCCGTTCCCGTTGTGCTAGCACACTTCCTAACGTGACCTTCCGCAATGTTGTTAATCATTTGGTGCTGTATGGATAACAGGTACACACAGCAGTCACACAGATTTTAGCACTGATATAAAGCAGGTTCTCAAGAGGACTTTTATTTGCCTATTTTATACTGCCTAAGAGCCTCGAGCAGGGGCCATTATCTGGGAAAAGGCTATGTTACCATAGTAAGTAGCAAAAGATTACAGATATTAAAAATAATAATTATTTATATAATTATAAGACATTTACAGCACTTTACATGATGATAACAGAACCCCGCTATATGCTCCTAATATAGTATATCACAAATTACTGTAAATGAGTTAGGCTGCACAAGACAATTTCTGAAGATTTATTACATTTTGTCACACTTTTTCTGTATGTGTGTTCACACATGGAGCTGGAAAACGCAGCACTGTGTTGATAAGAGGCAATCTGACATTTTATTCATTTCTAAAATTAACAAAAGAATGCCTCATACATACTTTCATGAATCACACAAAAATGTAAATCAATGTTTCAGACTGAGGCTGGTAGAGGAGATGGCACTGGCCTTCCCTTAGGGCATTTGTCTGTTTCAACACATCCCGCAGAGCCAATCCCTTATTTGAAACTCAGATAGAATGAAAGATAGACTCGCTACTCTCTAGCTGGAAAATGTAATAAGACCTCCCTGACAGTTCTTTGTATTTTTTCACCCTGCCAAATGATCGTGATTTTTTTAAGCTGATTATTTGCATATTGGAAGTCTGTCATCTTGACACATTTTGTGTGATAATATGGAACACATTTTATGAACTGTCTGCAGACATCTAACTCAATTCCATTACTTGGAATGTTTTGAGAAAACAAGTAAACAGTTTAAAATGAAAAGCCAATTCAGAATAATTTAAACAATTTGGCCATGCTAACTGCTGCACTTGAGATGGAAATGTCAGTCAATCGGTCCACCAATTTGGTCCAGACTGAAATATATCAACAATTATTGGACAGACTGCCTTGGAATTTGTTATCCATGATATTCATGGTTCCAAGACGATGCATCCCAATGACTTTTGTGATACTCTGACTTTTCCTCTAGCGCCATCATGAAGTTGACATTTGTGGCTTTCAGTGAAATGCCTTAACAGCTGTTGGGTAAATTGTAATGAAATCTGCTTCGGACATGTCCCCCACAGGATAAATTGTTATACCTTAGGTGATCCCTTAACTTTTCATCTAGCGCTATCATCAGGTCAAAATTCCACTACATCCAGTACATTGGTTTACCACATCTTACAAAACTAATGACATTCTAGTACAAAAAATCTGCATATGTTATTATTGTCATTGTGAGTATGTAATGTAATGGACATGAAACTCATAAGACGTGGCAGAAAATCAAACAAGCGGAAAAACACAGAAGGACAGGAAGTGAGGTAGGCAAAGACACATGAGGAAGGATTTAAAACTGCAGTCGATAGCAATTGCACATACAATGCAAAACCTTCTGTGTCTCTCTCTGCTGCTCGTATCGCTCCGCTAAGCCCCTCCCACCAAACCCACAAGTTCGAATGGCAGCAGAGGGAGGCTGTTGCCCTGGGAAACCTCATGCTGTGTAGGTCTCGCTCTCCATGGCAAGAGTCCCACCAAGACCCCAGTCCCTCTCTCACTTTGACTCATCTTCTCAAAGACGTCCCTACGACACTCAGTGCACTGCATGGAATGCTAGGGGCAGTATCTGTTCCACTGTTTGCCATGAGTGCTTGACTGTATACTACTCACAAAGAAGAAGCATTCATGCGAGAAGCGGAAAGCAGCGGAGAAATAGTAGAATATTTTTTGTTTTTACATCAATTTCGACCATACTGTTTCAGTTGTGTTAGCAAACACATTAAGTGTAATAGTAAATCAGTGAATTATAGGAGCATCCTACGCTGTCTTGTCTTCTTCTCTGGTTTCCAACTGCCATTGATACTAGTTTTCATTCTGAATAGTAAACCTTGTTCACTTAATGGTAACGTTAACTGTACACAAATGTTTTGTACTATATGCTGTAGTTGGCAGAGGATAGATAGGCAATTCTTTCATTGCTGGGGGTTGTTTCTAAGCCAAAGACAATTAAAGAATTCTCCTAGAGAACCAGATTTGTTCACATATTATCTGTCTCATGCATTACTGTCAGGATATAGTGACAGTTTTAGCAAATATGACAAAAAGTTATCTTTGAAAGAATTTCCTACTGCTGCTTTAACAGAATAAAACAGGAAATCACAACACCAAATCCCAAAACCATGACAGTAATGAGCTCATTTTCATTCTAAATGTGCCAATTTTTCTACAGAAATCATCCCAGATTGTGTCCACTTTATCGTCTTCATCTTAGTCCCAGTGGAGAATCTCTATGGGTGTTGTGATGATGTTTTGAAATTGAAAATAAAAATTTTCATTTTCATGTGGCTTCAATTTATTTCACTCTGAAAGGAATTACACTAACAATAGGGAACAGAAATAACAACACAATGGGCAGTTCATTCCAAACAAAATACATCTTTACCCTGATTTGGTGTCAATTTTAATATCTAACAAATTATAATATTCTTACCATACTGTACTAAAGCATTTTCTCTTTGTAGAAAAGTGTCCTTTTTTCTTGCCAAAGTAGACACATGTTCAGACTGGTCTCTGCAAAGGAGCCCACGTCTCTGTGATCTATAACATCACATCCATTCTTCCTTATGGTGAGTTTTTCACTAATTATCTCTCGATTCAATCGTTAGGGTGTAAAATAAAATGAGAGCTAAAGGGCGAAGACATCAAGTTCACAGCCTGAATTGACAACAAAGTGAAATGAATGAGCTGCTGCAGGAAATGGCCCACTGTGGTGGGACTAATAAACCTGCAGGCTACTTCAGAAGGAGGAAGAGGCTCCTCCATCTGACAATTAAATGAAGAGGAAATTAATGGATAAACAGT